CAGCGTGTCCCGCAGAGTTGTGTTTTCGCTGCCGTGGTTTGCGCGAGCTAATTCAGTGACTTCCTTACCACGGCCATTTTCCTTCTCCCCACAAAATTTACATTTCTATGAAGTCCAATTTATCTTCTTTCTTTGGTTGCTTGTACTTTTGGTATCATATTTAAGAAATTATTGCCTAGCCCAAAGTCACGTAGATTTACTCCAGTTTTTTTAAGACTTTTATAGTTTTAGCTCTTACAATTTGGTCTTTGATACGTTTTGAGCTAATTTTTGTATGTAGCATGAGGTACGGATTCAAATTAATCCTTTTGCATGTCAATATCCAGTTGTCCCAGTACCATTGGTTGATGAGACTGTTGTTTCTCCCTTTGAATTGTTTTGGCACCCTCATCAAAAACAAAATGACCATAATGTAAGGAATTATAGTAATCTTTTTAATATTAATGTGATGATTAATTTTCTAAAAATATATATATTGCCTTCATTTTTATAGGTTACTATTCGAGCTTCATTAGGATCTCTTCATTCAAAGCCATCGACTACATCTTCCAGCAACACTCCAAGCACTTCTCTTCAGGTCTCACCTCCAGAGTCTAAAAACGCAACTCCTAAAAATCCCACCAAATCTAATGCGAGTAAACCGAAGACACGTAAGGGTCGTGCAACTACATCTACTGCAAGTAAACCTAATGCAAATAAGCAAGGTAGAGATACATCTAAATGCAAAGCCAAAACCTCTTGCAAGCAAAAGAAACAACGCAACAGAAAGAACAAAATCAGCATAGCTTTGAAGAACTTAAGGTAATATCTTTTATTCCTGATGTCCAATGTGAATTTAATATTAAATATTAAAATTTTATTTTAATATAATTTACCATATCACAGAACTCCCTTGCACATTTACATGATAATCACTTATCTGGCATAAAGGCCAAGCCAATAGTAAAAAGGTACTTTTCACAACTACTGGGCAGAACTTGAATTATTGTGTTTATTGTATAATTGTCATCTTTTACACTAATCTTATATTTTGTGTTTATATCTTGTGATAGTTGAATTGGTTAATAGGATCCTATTTATTCCAGGGAAAGTTTAACTGGTGTTAGATTGTTTTACACTTATCCTAGCTTGTTGTTTCAGAGTAAATTTTCAAATTATGTCTCTATTCAAATATGTTAGCTTAAACTCCTTAGCTTCAATTAATAAAATGTTAGTAAGGCTTTACCTTATTATTTTTGTTTTACAATATATTGTTACCATTTTTTCTGTCTCCATAAGGTGTCGTCGAGGAGTTCACAAGTGCATTGAGTGTCATTCCAAAATAAAAGATTTTGCAAGTCACTTTTCAATATATATCCACTGTAATTTTTGCAAATACAACACTAACTGTAACAAAGCCTTTATAAATCATATGGTGAGGTGAGTTAAACATGTACACTGTCAATCTAAACTGCCATTCAAGATTTTTTTTAAAGCAAATTTGTCCTAATAGAAGTCAGTTTGTTACATTAAGGAGCTAAAAAACTCTAACAATGGGGAACTTCTAGGATATTACTCAGCACTATTATCCAGTATAATAAATCATGAAATTAGTGGGGCAATTTTTTTTTATTTTGACTAATGAAAATAAGTCTTCTAGGGCCGGTTGAGTGGCTCAGTTGGTTAAGAGCTCGCTCAAGAGTGCAAGCTCTGAGAAACAGGGTCACTGGTTCGATTCCCGGCCCGAGCTGGGCTGCCGCTGAGCTGCCAACAGGTGGCAGGATAGCTCAGCTAAAAAATAATAATAAGTCTTCTAGGGAACATTGTTTTTCTAAGTCTTTCAAAAAGTGGTTATTGCCAAACATTAAATGATTTCAAAATATTTATCAAATACATGTAACCACATGAGCAGTCACTTTGAGAGACTCCAGATTGTCAAAGATGCTAAGAACATTATTGGCGCTCACATATGCACACATTCTGTCTTTGACCCTCCGTGCGACCCTGTCTCCCTTCCTCCCCTCTTTCAAGCCATCCATGTTTGCATTCATTCAATGAAATAGGCAATGAGGGACTATAGGGATATTTCAGTCATGATGCTACTGTTGGAATTTATTTTCATACATCAATTCAATTTACGTTATTTGAGCACCTACCATATACTTTATGCTAGTGAAAGACTTTAGGGCCCACTTTATTTTCATTTGGACCTCATTTGTAGGCACTTCCTTCAGTGGATTTTTTTTAATAGATAAAGATTGTTCAGATATAAATCTGCTAAGCTGATTATACAAATTAAGGTAGTTCTGTTTATTTTTAGTCAGAAATTGGGTATAACAATAAATGTGGTTTTCTTGTAAATCATAACAAGACGTCTGTTACTTTCTGGTCATAGATAGCTACCACTTTGAAGGATTTGCCTACTTTTTTTATGACTTTGGCACTTGGCTTACAGAGTTTTTTTCCCCTTGATGATCAGCCTGACCTCATGGTATCTTGACTTATTTCATTCCAGCACTTTACATCCACCTATGACATGTTGTACCATCCCTTTTACCTCATATACAATGTTTATTCATTTTTGAATTCTCATTACTTCACGACTTTCAGAGTCTTGACCCCTCGCTCTAGTCTAGCAGCGCCAATCCAGCTTTATAGTCAGCCTCACCCTCAAGGCCCTCTGTTGTGAATGTTGTTTTGCTTTTGTCCTGTAACCCTTTACATCTTTAGTCATGCTTAACCTTGCTATCCTTGAGTCTCCTGTCCTTTGAGGTCCATCTCTATGCTCAGCTCTAGACTACCAAACTGGGCTTGATTTAATTAGCTCTGAATTCACGATATTTAACTTTAATTTGGTACTGTCTTTTTAAAAATACCTCTTTGTTTTTTGTTTTTTGTTTTTTTTTTTTAAGATTTTTATTGGGGAGTTGGGGGGATGGGAACAGTGCTGGGGAATTGGGGGAAGGGGAACAGACAAGTTGCTGTCGTTTTGTTCTTCAATCTAGTTGTGGAGGACGCTGCT